CCCAAACATAAAAGCAACAGATGCGCATACATCAACCTCTATCTTTCACCAATCCTACCAACACCACAGGAGCATGGCCCGAAGGCATTAGGCCACAAAACCACAAAAGGAAAGCGAAAGACAATCACAACTAGTTGCAAGCCGAAAAAAAACAACATAAGACAATCGACAAGGCACAAAACAACGTGCAGCAGCGAAAGGTTGGAGGGCAAGGGGGAGACGGGTCGGCACACAAAGACATGTGGTAACAATGCATGACAAAAGGCAAAGGCTGAAGGGCACGAGGAAGGCAGGTAGGCAGACAACATACAAGCAGACAAAGCAAAAAACCGAAATAAGTCCCGGAATAAGCAACGACTGAAAAAGAAATGAAACTGATGATAGATTGTTTCGTCGGAGTTGCACCGACTCATTAGGAGGTTGAACCCTCAACAATCGGCGGAATCTCCATATTTGATGGTTTGGGTCATGAACCCTTTGACCCTTGTTGAAGGCAAATTGTCCCCAAGCATAACATAACAACGGGCAACAACCCTATGGAACACCAGGTAACACAGTAGAGGCAACATGGCTGCACAACGCTAAAAATGACTACAAGGAACGACATGGCATGCATGACATGCAACGCGGTAACCATACTGCAAGGGACGACAAGGCAAGCGAACCAGCAACACGACAATCGTGGAGCGGAGCACAAGGCACCATTAGCAGCAACGAGGCAACCAACCTACAAGGCACACAAGTGACAAACATGGAAGGGACAACCAGCGGATGAGCAGCAAGGCAGCGGAGTAGCGAAGCGCAAGGCAACACCAACAACACGGCCACACCACATGGTGAACACAACAATATGCAGAGAGCCACATGTGAGGCGAGCGTGACAGGCAACACGGCAGCGAAAGAGCGCGGACGAGGCAGTCCACACATACAACACGGAGCAAAGCAGCGCATGACCTATGCACATCACGATTGAACCCCGTAGACTGTTGGTTCCCACCACCCACTGAACCAGGGAGTCACTCCGACTAGCATCCATCATCACCCATAGGGAACACAAACACCCGGAACCGAGCGGCCCCCCTAAGAGTGCAGTTGGCACTCCAGAGTTGGAACCACCGACTGTTTGGCACTACTTAAGTGTGCTCGGTTGGGCACACAACCAAGTACTTAGAAAAAATAAGAGAAATAACAAACGACAGGGGAAAGACAAACTGACATAAAACTGGTTGTGTGTGTGTGTCTGTGTGTGTGTGCGTGTGTGTGTGTGTGTGTGTGTGTGTGTGTGTGTGTGTGTGTGTGTGTGTGTGAGAGAGAGAGAGAGAGAGAGAGAGAGAGAGAGAGAGAGAGAGAGAGAGAGAGAGAGAGAGAGAGAAATGCAGTGGCTGCCATGCCTGTAGCCGTAGAAGTGCGTTGAAAAGACGCACCCTACCAATAGGGGCATATGAAAATTTGTTTTGCTGGTACTCGACAGCAATCCCGGTAGGGGCATTTCAAGCCCAATCGACACAAGGGTTTTATGGTGGTCAGAGAGTCGCGACAGGGTAAATCGGCCGTGGGAGGGGTGCGACGCAAAATAATGGAAATTACAGGTGCGGCAGACAAATTTTCAAAAACAAAAAGAACAAAAAAGAAAACGGTTTTTGCAGCCTTGAATTGTGAGGTCCAACCTTTTTTTTTTTTTTTTTTTTTTTTAAACCAAAGCAAAGTTCCTTATAATAATCAAGCAGAGGCCGGGGACCTCACAATTCTACCCGGAAGAACTGACAGCATCAGCCAGCTTAGCTTACAGGTTTGCACCTGCAGAAAGTTGATTCTGCCAACTTTCCAAACACCTACCCCATTTCCTACTTACTATTTAAGCTTAGCAACTCTGCACTTCCAAAGTTAACACTTTCTACCCCCTAAACAGTCCACAGTCGCCCGAAAAAAGACTGCTGATCCAGTTGAATGGCAATGCGCCTATACTGACTATTCTAGGACTGGCTATCTGATCTGTATTACATCTTCGTAGAGCATCCCAATCAATCATTGAGGGAACCACTGAATAAAACAGAGGTAGTTGAATTCATCAGGAACTTTTACTCACCCACATGTCGCATCACAGCTTGAACAAACAGGTAAGGAGACTCTAAAACTGGGACTAAAGCGGCCCAGGGACTGCGTCCTTGTCCTACTGACACTCTCCTAACGGCCCACTGTGGCCCTAGAAGACCGAGTGCCCTGGTACTCGGGAGACCCTCCGGGCTCCGGGTGCCCTCTATCCAATTCTACTCACCCCGCTCACGCCCTGCTCTCGCAGGCCTCTACGTACTGTTGACACAGTCCAGGACCCAGTTGGAAAGAACCAAGCCCTTCCTATTGTGCACGGCCGCCAGCCTGTGCGAATTCGCCCAGGTTCGTAAAAACCATCTGATTTGTTTCCTGCTGCCCTTTCCGCCTCTCGCTCTTCTCCTCCAGTCGACTCTGATCGCCAGTTTCAGTCCTCGCTTAATGTGATTCTTGGTTTCCAAGTCGGAGAAGGGTCTCCCCTGAAACCTCGACCTGTTTCTTTCCATCCAGATGACCTCGCATATCACCCCTCTCATCACATGCGCAATGTAGCCCCAACCTATTTTCCCCGATCCCCCTGGGGGAAGAAAACCCAGGAGAACCCATCTTTCTTCCCACTGTACATCTTGGCCCCCGAATTCCTTCCAGTGGTAGGCCCACCAATCCCAGATCCGTTTAGACGCGGGGCAGTCCCACGACAGATGACGGGTGGATTCGAACGGCCACCGGCATCTCGTACAACCCACCATTACCTCCATCCCCTTGCTCAAGCACCAAACGGCCGAAGGCGTGACTAACAAAGACAACAGCCACAAGATACTTGCTTGTTTACCATTCGGTAAGTTGGCCAGGGACTCCCACAGTCTTGTAAACTCGGACTCCGAGTTAGTTAAGTCCTCCGTGCAGATTGCTTGCCAGCGTGGGATGGCTATTTTGGCCGGAGTTTTGAGGTTCTCTGCCGATAGGCGATATCCGCTGGACACTGCATACTCCCTCAGGTATAAGACTTGCCCTGAGTCTCTGTTGACTGACCAACCCCAGGCCAACTTTTTTTTTTTTTTTTTTTTTTTTTTTTTATTGCAAATTATACCTTTCCATTAACAGCCAAAACAATCATGAAAAGAGGCCGGGGACCTCACAATTCTACCCGGAGTTATCCTGGCAGCATCAGCCAGTTTAGCTTACGACCCCGGCCGAGCCGGGGATCAAATCACAGATAAACCATCCAAACGAATCTTACCTCGTATGAGACGAATACAACCCGAAACAAAACCTTAACTTTAACAACCACTACCTTCCCAATTTATCTCTATGTCCACTTGTGACCTTCCAATCTCTACCTACCCTCCTACAGACGTCTAAAACGACAACCAGGTCTACACGGCCTGGTGGAACACTCTGTTCCTCTTTATCCTGACACTCTCCTACTGGACCACCGCGTCCCTACCAACCGAGTGCCCTGGTACAGTCCTAGGCACTCTCTAGCCTCCTCCCTACCGACCGAGATGCCCTGGTCTCCCTCCTTCCTCTACTCCTCTACTTCCATCCCCTCCTCCTACTACTTACTCTCTCAGCCACTTAGAAATCACTAATCCCTGAGTCGAATGGACCCCAGCTAACTGATTGCCCTTCGCCCAGGATCTCAAAAACCACCACAGCTGTCTCCTTGGTCCTTTGCCATTCTGGGCTTTCCTGCGCCAATCGGCCCAGATGGCTCTCCTCAGGCCTTGTTTTATTCTTGCTTTAATCTCCAAGTCAGAGAGCGGCCGTCCCTCAAACCTGGACCGGTTTCTGTCTGCCCAAATCACCGAGCAGATAGTCGCCCTGGCCACCTGGGCCACATAAGGCCAGCCCTTCTTTCCTGACTGTTCTTCTTCGACAAAGCCCAACAGGACCCACTGCTCATCCCACGTGATACCTTCCCCTCCCATTCTTGTCCAGTGGTCCTCCCACCACTTCCAAACTCTCTTCGACGCTGGACAGTCCCACCACAAGTGTTTGGTGGATTCAAAGGGCCATGAGCCACGAGAGCACTTCAGAGCTACATCCATCCCTCTACTGCAGAGCCACACAGCTGAGGGAGTAACCAGGAGAGATAGCATCCACAGCAGACTGGCCTGTTTGAGGTCAGGCAAAGTAAGTAGCACTCCCCACAACTTTATGAAGTCACCCTCTCTTTCCTGCAAATCCTCCATGAGGACTGGCCCCCATCTGGCCACTGCTACTCTCGCTGGACTTCTTCCTTTTCTGCCTGCCAGCCTGTAGGATTCTGCCACTGAAAAATTCGAGAGGTTTAGGTCCCGGAGGTCAGTCCTTAAGGCCCCTTCCCCTCTCCAACTCCACGCCCTTGGATCAATTGGCAGTTCCCTGAGGGACGTTTTCCCCACCCAGATTGTAGATCGCACAGTTCCCCTTCGGCTCCGAAACTGTATAACCCTTGCCTGTGGCGGGTTTGCCCACTGTCTGATAAACTCTACCTCTCCCGGGACTAGCGTAGTAGTCGGTTCTGCAGTGGACCATCTCCGAACTTCTCTGAAACCCCCTTGTGTTAGGCCCTGGAGTTCCCACACCCCCTCCCTGCCCAAGACAGTTGGTGATACATACCAGGTTCCCACCGGGTGTACCCCTTCAGGGCCCAGTATGAGCAGCCATTCCGCTGGAATGGCCCGCAAAATCTGCTGCCAGTGTTCCTCTGTATACCAGAGACCTTGAAGATGCTGATATACTTCTGCAAACGGCTTCCATGGTCCAACTTTATAAAGAGCAGCGACAATTAAAAAAAAAAAAAAAAGAAACAAAAAAAAACTCCTTGATCTTAGCCAAAAGGCCGAGAAAGTTTTTTTTTTGTAATCTTTTTCTTTTCACCCCATTTTCGAACTTTCCGACGGCCGCCAATTCGGAAAAAGGCGCCCTACCAGTACGGGTAGTGCAAGCACGCTTCGAATTCGAAGTGCTGCGTCGTTTGTTCGCCCTCCCCCGCGCGCTTCAATCTCAAAGCCTGCTTGCACCACAGCCATCGCCGGCGATGACGGAGGGAGAAGCAGGGCGACAGCTGTGCGAGGAGCAGCACGCCAAAGAGCATCTGGCAGGTCTCTCTCTCTCTCTCTCTCTCTCTCTCTCTCTCTCTC